GATCTTTAATTCTGTACATTGTATACATAATATAATATATTAATTATGCATAAAATATATACTTATGAATCCCTAATAATGCTAATTTATAGTAACTTATTTACCAACAATAAATAAAAATATTATAGTTAGTTATTATATTATTATTATTATTATTATTACACAATAATTTTTAGTTTAGCTGAATAACATTAATTAATTTATCTGAATTATAATCCTAAATTTATAATCATAAATTTTAAATCATATATGATTACACATTTATACTATAGGTATCCAGTATTAAATTGCATGTATAAACATTTATAGAGACATATTACTATAGATTGAATAATAATGATTAATTTAATGTGATAAATAAAATATTTTAAACTAAAATTCTATAGCATTTTTTGATTTTGATTTTAATTTACAAAAAAAAACAATTTAGTTTCAACAAAAATATTTTTAAACAATTCAATTTTAAAGAGCTAATCAGTTGTAATAGCTAATAATTTAAAATTAGCTTACAATTTTCAATATTTGTATAAAAGGTAGAAAAGAAAAAAAGAAAACATTTTAAACTAATAATAAAAATTGTTTAAAATTTATATACCTAACTCAAAAATTGAAAATGTCTACAACCCACATGAATATTATACAATATTTATAAACAAACAGCAATATTTGAATAAAATAAAATAATTTATATTTTTTGTTAAGTTGCCAATAAAACATTAAACAGTCCTTGCCTTACTTTAGCTTAATCTATTTATAAACATAAATGTAAGAAGTGTTTTAAAACATCATTATCATTATTATGACAGAAGGATAAAAAAAAAATAAGTAGGTCAAAGACATAGAAAGTTAAATTTTAGTAATTACTAAAAATGTAATTACCTTCTTCATAAACACCAATGATTATTTTATAACTAATATAATTATTTATTCATTAAAATATAAATACTATAACCAATATATTATAAGACTATAACACAAATGTTAAAAAAAGAATATAATAATTTATTAACTAAACCTGAGCAGTTGAAAAAAATTAAAAAAAATATAAATAATCAAAATCCTATAAGTTATTTAATACTGAATATCTACGAGAAGTCAAGAAAACAATATTATTATGAATTTAAGTAAATCAACCAATATGCTATGTAAATATAAAATTTGGTTTTTAAAATATAAATAATTCATTATTATCAAGATATAATTATTTTCATGACTTAGACAGTCATTTTTTGTTGAAATTCTTACTTTTCCTAGGGCAGCTGCCATTTCAAACGTTCCGACTGTGTCCATATTGGATGCCATCATCGGTATACCCTGATATGTACGCTTAGAGTTACGAAATGTAATATGCCGAAACAAGTCCACCTAGAACAGAGAACAAAATATTGTAGATTTTACACATATAGATTTTGTTTCTTATGCCCAAGTATTGTGTGCATCACTCACTTGTGCCCGGGTTTTCAGAGTGCTCCTTTTCGGTCTGAGCAGCACATCTTTGAAGTCCAACTTCACCTCATTAATTATATTCGGCATGTTTTCAATGACTTGTAACAAAGACGCCGGTCAACAGTATAATGTGTGGGCTATAACGGTTGAGCAGGTGACATGAACAAGAAACGATATATTACGAGTAACTGTAAGCACACTAATAACTGGTGACTTAGTGACTATCAAAGTCTAACTGTCTAGTGTCTAGGGCCGGCTCACAGACCACGGTGCACGCTTGTCGGTCGTCTGGACCGGGCAGTAGAGGGGATGGGAAGATGACTCACCCCTTGGCCAACACCAAATCACGCTCTCGTCGTCGCTTTTTAATATTATTTTATTATTTATTAATAGGCAATAGCTATTAATATTATCAATGTATAAAATAGCCCATAGGCTATGGCATAATATATTAAAACTACTTACTGATCATTATATTAATAATTATTACATTTTATTATTATCGCATAAAACTTGCTGCCGCTACCATAGGACACGCCCTCCTGGCCAGCACTACTACCGCCACCACTGAAAAACGATGTCTGTACAATATTGGGGCTCGAAACATCGATATTCGCGAATCGTCAATCATTTTAATTTTCAAGACCATCGTGACGCGGTGCGATTTTTCTTGATTATGAAATTCATGTTTTCGATGCAATGTGAACTGAAACGAGCTTTATCGGTCTTAGAAAGAGTGTAGTCCAAATAACTATACTTACGTAGATAGGTACTTATCGATGGAGCTTACGTTTACGAATTACCTACTGCTCAGATCTTTTAATAACAGATGCTCTTGCCTCTTATAATCATAAATATTGTTGTTATTAAAATTATATTTTAAATTTTTAAACTGGAATTAGGTACGAGACGATTTAAACATATCGTATTTAAAACGATATAATATAATATACCAATTATTATACTAATATTTTATTAACTGTAATACAACAAATAATAAGATTGACTATTGAGTAGGTTAACCTGATTAAATACTTATATTTATATTTTATTCCAGAATTTCTAACGCATTTTTATGACAACACCCATTACATATTAAATATTTTAATACTATTAACAACTGAATGCCTAAAATATAAATCCCTATACGCTACGTACCTATGTATCATATATCGAGTAGGAATTGACTTATTTGACTGTACTATAGCGATTGAAAACCGGTATTTTGTTCAATACATCATTTAGTACTTTATAACTATAGTGACATTGTCATTTGTCACAATGTCACATTTAACGATTTTAAAAGGTGTAGAGGACAAGCCGAACAAGGACACTGCTGCTGAAAATAATTGTTTTCAATACATGCAATTATTATAATTATCTTTGTAGTATAGGTACCTACTACCTATCATTGTCTTTGTCCAAGTCTTAAAATTATTAAAATTGTACGTTCCAGTTATTTCAGTACTCAACGTTAATATATTATCTTGAAAGTAAATACCTATTATAAAATATCAAACAACTATGTACAAAGATTTCATGAAAGCTGAATTACTGACTTAGACTCGCATACTTAAAAGAAATACCTCACTTTTAAAATCTATTTTGAAATTATACTAACTACAATTGTTAGTAACTATTTAAGAATCAAGTTAAAAATTATGGTAAATCTTAAATTAGCCAAATTGTTTTTCATTTGAAAAATTAAATTAATTATCTTATCGCGTAAGCCCAAATAATAATAATAATAATATATAGTTTTAAATAAATTCACATTAGATATGTATTATTGTATTAATATTTGAGTTATTTCTATGCAAAAATCGTCATTTTAACTGTGATTGATTTCAATTCAATGATTCATAAGAAAAAGAGAAAATTAATTGATTATTTTTTTTTATATATATTGCAAGTTATTGAAAAAAATTTATTTTTGTTAAAACAGAGGAGATTATTAATTTTCACAAAAATATTAAATAAAAAATAAATATTACACTGTAAAAACGTATTTAGTGATTTATTATCGATTATGCCTGTACACAATTATATAATGAGACAAAATTATTATTTAATAATACCTATATCTGTAAGAATAAAGGCTCGCCACTGCAAGAAGTGTTAAAATGTAGCCCAGGCATAATTTATTGCTGTAACAGATTATAGAATTATGTAACCACTATCGTATATATACCTAATGGACTTTAACGAGTAGTTTACATTTCTGCATATTTAACGTAGGTACATATAAACATATGCGTCATAATATATTTTATTTAGCAAAATTATAATAGTAGATATTAGAGTATATTCAACAATATTCATCATCGTCACATTAATGTTGCATTTTCAATATACTTAACATGATTAAAATATAATAGTTGTTCTAACACTGGATTTACCGTTATCATATTAAGGACTTAGAATATAAAAACTACCCTACCCTTGCTTTCATTTATAAATAGAATCCATATATTGTACCGTCCTCATTGCTCATTTATTAGGTTTTTTGCAAACTCAGAATTAATCACAATGCACAACTGAATGCTTGATATAAAATATTATTCAGTTCTATAGTGCTCACACACTGTTCTATGAAATGAGAGTTTAACAGTATATTTTCTTCTTTAAGAGTTATACTTTCAACTAAATTAACAATTTGATCAATGGTTTATTAATACTTCTTTTAACAAACAAACTTCAAGGTCCATTCACATTCCTTTTGCAACTTCACTGCACACCAATAATTATGTCTATAATTATTTCATCTACTACATTATAAGTCTTTCTAACACCCATCATAAATATTTTTATTTTTCAGAATAGATAATGTTATTGACTTATTGTTATTGTGTAGTATTATTAAGTATACTCTAGTTACTAGAGTCTAGTAAATTTTGGACCTTGGTCTATTTGTATCAAAAATAAACAAATACATAAATTACTTAAATACTAAGTAATTATACTAATTACTTATATAAGAGTAATATTTAATGTAAGTTATTTAAATTAATATTATTATTATTATTAATACAATTTATTAATAATAATAATATTTGATTGTAAAACATATTAAATATCTACTATTATATTGTTATTGGTTTTATATTAAATTATAATTTTTTGTCCATAGATGGCTACAAAGTAAAATAAAAATATTGCATGGCTAAAAAATAATAGATATAAACTTTAAAATCAATCCCTATAGTAACTATAGATCTATTACATAGGTATTAAAACAAATTATTTTGTAACTAATTTTATTCTTTATAAATAAAATGAATCTGTAGGAGGAAAAGGTAGAACTAAAAACTGTTCACTCGGTTTGATTATTAATTCACTACCCTACTTCACACCTATATCAAATTATTATAACCACTTCAACTTAAGCTCAAATGTGGACAATAAATAATAATTATAGAAATAGAATTAAATACTTAATAGTTTAATAGTAAAATTAAAATTAACCGAATGAATAATTATATTCCATAATACAAAATATACTAATAATTTTATAAATTTATAAAATATAAGCTTTTAAAAATATTTTTAAATTACACATTTAATTTTTAAATAAAATAATAATAATAATAAAAAAAAAAAACATAATATTTACAGAAATTATTAATCTCTTAGATCCTCTTCAGTTTGCTTAATCCTTAATTGACATACCCCAGTTTTTAAACCCTATTTAAAATATGAAATTATATTTATGAAAATGCTCTACTAAATGTTTTAAAATTACTAAAATTACCATTTTCCATGTTGATATGTGCATTTCAGAAATTATTTCTTCATTTGCTTTGACCATATTAAGAGAAAAAGCCTGTGATTGATCAATAAATGGAGCACGTTGAGCGGCCATAACTACCAAAGCTTTTTGATCAATTTCCCATTTTGTTCTGTACAATTGTTTTAAATCTTCTGGCAAGCATTTGATTTCCTGAACACATTATTAAATGAGTGCTAAATCTCTGATACCTAGTACCTAATAAATTACCTGTACTGAGCCCATATTATTCACCAATTCAGATATTATATTCTCATCCCAGAGGTTACGATCGTGTAAATCTTTTAATAAGTATGGATTAACAACCTTAAAGACAAACATTTTTAAAAAAATAAATAAATAACTTAAACTTATTTAAAAATACCTGAATTTTTTTTGGTTTACTTTCTCCCAATGAAATATATCTAATTTTAATATTGGTGTCTAATGGTTCAATTGAATTCACATTTCCAAAAATTGCAGACTCAATTTCGGTATTTGAAGTAACTGTAACCAGAGAATTCCGTAGTCCATGTTGCGAAATTTTTGCTTTTAGACTATTCCAATCCCATAAATTAGAGGGTTTTACATTCCACAAATCAAATTGTAATAACTGCATAAATCAAATTAACAATTATATACACAAATATTAAATATTAAATTTGAATTGTCTTACCCCTTTACTAGTAGGACTATTTGAATAAGTTTTATATGGTCCATTTTTAGCAGCTAGTTCACAGCTTGCTTCTAAAGCACCATAATAAATAGTTTCATGGATTTTTATATTAAGATCTCTAGCTTCTTTATTATCAAAAGGAAATCTCATTTTAATGAATAGATCTGCTAATCCTTGGATACCAATTCCAATGGCTAATTGATTTTGTTTTAAACCAAATTTCAATCGTTCTTCCTAAAAGAAACTTATTTTAACACTCTTTAAAGAGATTATTATAAAAAATTATACAAATTTACCTCATTAAATATAGTATTATTGTTTTCAATTATTTTATTTAAATCATAAGTTACTTTTTTTGCTATTTTCTTAAGTTTAGAAAAATCAAAAACATTTTCTGATGTTAAAAACATATCTACTGAAATAGAAGCTGAAGTGCATGTGGCCACCTATTGAACAATGTTGAAATTGAATTAAAAATTAAGATTAATATCTCAGTGCTTAATATATAAAATGCAAGATAATTTTTATTTTTTATGTAATAAATTAACATATTTCTATAGATTATACATATTATATAATGTTACTTCATCAGATGCAGTAAATTGTACAGTATCTCCATTTCTACCAGCACACTGAATTGTTCCCAAATGAGATTCATTACTTTTAGCATTACACGCATCTTTAAATAATAAAAGTGGTAAGCCCGTTTCAATCTGAGATTGAATAATTTGTGACCATAACTTCCTTGCTTCAATTTGTCTTATAACAAAACTTTTATTTTTCAATTCATACCTAAGAATATTAAAAATAATAACAATAATTTAAACAAAAGGTTTATTTGGTTTCAGTTATTTTATTATATTACTCTCTATAAAGTTTATCAAATTCTTCTCCGTGAACTTCTATAAGACCAGGACAATGATCAGGACTCATAAAGCTCCACATTTGATCATTTTGAACTCTTCTCATGAATTCATCAGGTATCCATAAAGCTAAATGACTGTTTTTTAATTTAATATCTGCAATAGTAGTCTTTCTAATTTGGTCAATAACTTTCATTATATCTGCATGCCATAATTCACAATAAATTGCTATGCCTCTAATACTCTTGGGCCTTTCTAATGTTTCTGTTTTATGGACCATGGAATCAAATTGCTTCAACATAAGAGGAAGACCACTAGATTTTCCATTGCTGCCTTTAATATAAGTGCCTGCAGCACGTATTTTGTGCACATGGACAGCAGTACTTGAATAAGGTAAAATAAATGTTGACAAACGGTTAAGAGTATCATAAATACCATCAATGCTATCTGCCATCATTGCTATTGAATAATGACTAAAATATAATAAAATACAAAAGTAAGTATTAATTTTTATTTATTTTATCATAAATAGTACCTTATAACTGATACATTTAATTTTCTAGCAGCTGGCTGCAATTGCATAACCACAGGAGAAAACATACATAACTTTTCAGATAACATTTTGTATGTTTCAATAGCTGACTGAATATCATCTCCATGAATACCTACAGATACTTTCATAAACAAATGTTGAGGCCGTTCTATAGTTTGATTTTCAGACTTAACTAAAAAATGTTGGGTTAAGTACTGAAAAAACATAAATATGTATAATTAAATCATTAATACTAATGTGTTTATATAATATATATATATATATATATATATATATATAAACACAATGTACACAATATAATATAATATTACTTTTAATCCAAAGTAGTCCAAGTTATAATCATTTTCATAATTAATTGCCTCGTTTAATTGATCTTTATTTTTCATGATAATTTCATAAATATCATCTGATAAACCAATATTCCAATAATCATCATTTTTGTAAATATTATTCATCACATCTACAAAGAAAATAAAATAAATCAATATTTGATAAATAAGTTTAATGATAAACTTTATTTTACAGAAGAAAATTTAAAGAAAAAGGTGTAATATAGAAAAATATGAGGCTTGGTAGTTTCTATAGAAATTAATTATTACTTAATAAAAGGAACATGTAAAAAAAATTAATAAAACAGGGAAATTGCTCTTCTGCATAATAGGTCTTGGTTGTACTTTATCCAAGTCACTGCAAAGAATAGATACAAATTATAAGATGTTTAATATTTTTACCTATGCTTAAAAATGTAATTTTAAGTAACAAGGAAACTAATTAATAGTTAATACTGAAATCAAAAATATATTATCACTTTTTAGAGGATGTTATACCTACATTTTGTACCTAGAATTTTTTTAACCAAATAATTTATAACTATTTTATAAGATTTAAATATAATACATAAATATACATATATTATGAATATACTTTTATTTAAGTACTTAATACTTAATTAAAATTATTTCTTTCTCTAGATATAATTAATATTTGGTTTTCTATTTAATTTATATTTAATAAAAATATGTACCGCTAAATTTCTCTTTAGTTTGTTTATGCAAATTAGAAATAGCAATACGAGCTGCTAGTTTTTCATAATCAGGATGAATAGTAGCCATAGTAATTGCCATTTCAGCAGCTGCATCATCAAGTTGAGATGTAGTAATGCCAGTATAAAGACATTTTTTGATTACATGAATTGCAGTAGCAGCCTAAAAAAATATATATAAGCTTTATGAGATTTAATTTGAAATCTTATACTTCATAAATAATAATGCTTTAGTAAATTATTTTTATAAAAAACAAAATGTGTGCTATTTTATCACAGCCTTGAATAGCAAATATGTTATACAAATTTGACTATACTATATACATTTGATAAAAGTTTTTAATCATAATGTACATTAATAAAAATATATTTGATTTAACTTACTGGATCAATTTTTTCCAGGCCATAACATAACTGTTTAATACGTGCAATTATTTCATCGTAGTGAACACTCTCAATACTGCCATCTACAACAATAATTATAACCAAAGTATGTACATACTATTATTTTATTCTTTAACTTATACCTAGGTAATTAATATTTGAAAATAGGTACTAACATTATAAATCCATTATTTTTTCATATAAAATAAGACAATATGCCACAGATAGATTATAAGAAAATTACTCATTCTACATTACCTTTTTGTAAACAATACTAAAATAATACTTTGCTTTTTAATTAGTCATACATATGTCTAGTAAGTCACAGTTAAGTAGTCAATAACATGACAAATAGATACAAGTTCTAGAACTTCAAAAAAAACATATTGCAACAGTATATAATACATACCTCTTTTTTGGACGTACAAATGCTTCTTTATTTCAGCCATAATAATATTGGATCGAATATTAATTTTAAATTAATACAATATCAATATGCACACTTTAAAATGTTTTATGTTTACAATCGAAGACTGTTGCAATGAACATTCACTTTAACTAATGATCAACGTACGCAAATGTAAGAAGTTCACAAGTATTGACTAACGAGCAAGAACAAAACGGACGTTACGAACACCAAATTACCAAAATGGTTCCTATATACTTAATAGTCGTTTGATTCTACGCGAATTACAATATAGTATCAGTAGACAGTAATTTAATATTCGCTATTCGCTCAGTACTCAGCAAGATGGATTTAAATACATACACAAAAAAAACACAAGGATGTAGTTTCGCGCCAAAATTCTATTGTTAAGCCAGTGAGACCAGGTTTGAAAAAAAAAATTGTATCGTTCGCTGAACAGTGTCGAATTAGCGTCAAGTTTAAAATAATAGTATGCAATGCATACAATTTTATATTAAACGAATCAATATACAAGTATACGACTTACAAGTTATGACATCGAATTGAATGTATTATGTATCGTTGCTTAAAATTTAAAATTTTACTAATAAAATCTAAAGATTATTTTATGAGTTCCAACTACTTTATAATAACTAATGAGTCATTATAACATTTAAAAACTTGAATTAATATAGGTAGATGATATAATCACTATTGCCTATATATTTAACTATTTAAGTTTATTATAAAAATAGGTGCTTATTGTAAATATTTCTGTTACAGATTGTACAAATTAAAATAAATATGTTAAAAAATTATAAAAATATAGCACTAAAGCCTACGTTAATATTCTAATGACATTATTGGTATTGATTATAATTATATTTTATACAGGGCCAAAATAATAAATTATTTAAAATTAAAATATTCAACCATTAGTATTTGATTGGAAAAAATATGAACATTCACCGATAGTAAAACTGTAAAAAAGCTGTTAGTAAGTAGGTACCTACTTCCATACTAGTAATGTAGTAGTATACCTACACGGCCAAAACTAGGCTTATCAATTTAATAATATACTCACCTGTTCCACCTGCTCAAATAATATTGTATCGCGCATAGTAATAAGTAATAACCTATTTTATTTTTATGTCGAGGGCATGAATAGTTCCATAAAAAGAAAACAAGTACAACAAGTACAGTCTTCACATCTTATTCTTAGATCCTAGGAAATAGGAAAGTTAGACTTATATAACAATATCGACAGGTAGAAACAATGATAGTTGATGGTTTTTAGGTCCTAGGTATTTTTTTTGTTGAAACATGTTCGCAGACCGAGTTGAAAAAATTCACAGCTTGTCAGTTTGATCCAGAATATATTATGATTATTAAACATTCTATTTACACATAGTCTGTTCAGTTTGTAGCTTGCCGTTTATAATATTCATCTTATATTATTATTTAAGTCATTAATCCACACAATAATCATTGTTTATATGTTACACTTTACACTTAGTTAATACAAGTTTACAATTCAGCATACAGCAATGTCAAATGTTTAGATAATGTGTTATAGTTTTTAGTTTTTAGTATTGCGAGGGGTACGACTGCAAAGTGCAAATCATAAACATATGGTAAAAAAACGCGGGAAACCTTGTGATACTATCATTATATAATCATTATTCATTATGCGTTTCCCGCCACTACGTCAGTTATTGCAAATTTCATGTCCGGTTTTTTTGTGTCATTTATTAACAGTTAATAATTACTCGGGGTCGGGGCTAAGGATAAGCTATACCGTTAAACTATTACTACTGAATTCATTCTGTTGTAACGGAAACATATTTGGCAAGGTATAAACCAACTGCCCCGAACACACGTCAATTATTGATTTATCACAGACCCTGTTATAATAGTATCCATTGTACGTTGTTATCCAGGTATTGTCCAATTCTACGAAATTCTCCTGTCGGTGTTTTTTAATCAAATTAGTTTTAACCGTGCTTACGAACCTTTACAGTTTACAATCATGTTCGATGCAGGAAAGTTGAACTCAAAACTGTTCGTTAAAAAGCGTGGTAAGTATCGATGTATTTATTCTATTATTTATTAGTAATTATACACAATTTACCTACTTATTATAATATCGGTATCTACATAATCAACATAAATATGAAACTTGATCAATTTACATGTTAAAATTTGAAAAAGTCTTCCAACTCATTCTAGTGGTTGGTATATTAAAAATGTATACCGTTACCTAGAAATTTCTAAAAATCATAATTATATAACATGTCTTACTGTATAACAAAGTCCTTCGATAAATTAAATTTTAAATTTTCTTATGTTTAATCTATAATCTTTGAAATGTATTTGTTTAGATGGACGTATGGAAGAAGTAATGATGGACAAGATCACGTTACGAATTGAACAATTATGCGATGGCCTCAACATGGACTTCATTGATCCGGTTAAATAAAATTTTTGAAATAAGTTAATTTTATCACGCTCTTTGAGAAATTATAAAAAAATATAAGTTAAGAATAAGTGAAAAGTGATTGAAATTGTCATTCAGAATGTGTTTTGAAATTTATCATTTATTACAGTAATCGCATCTAGTTTTTACGTTGCGTGTGTTGATAAATTACATTATGGGTGGTAGTATCAAACTAGTTCATAGCTATATTGTCTGTTGTATTATTGCTGGTATGCATTTAATCATATTCTACCTTCTCCAGTCACAAATTATTGTAATATCTATAGAACATTATAAATTTGTTAACACTAATAATTATGATCATTGTTCTTGGTATATTTGACAATATAACTTATTAAATGTCTGCAGTCTCGTTATGACAGCATTTATATGACCATACACAAAAATAATGCATGCAATTGGTGATAACAAATGATAAATTTCTAAAGACTAAGTTTGAAACAAAATTCAAATGACGATTCTAATTGAATAATTGTTCTTAACTCAGTGAATTATATGAATTCCAAGGATTATTTTTAAATTTCCTGATGAGCTTGGTAAAAATTCTTAACTGTATTTTTAATTATTATTTAATAATATTTATGAAATATAAGAAAATTAGTTTCTTCCAAAGCCACAAATGGTTTTATTTAACTATAATGATAAATATTTAAAAAATATTATTGACATAACACTTTATTAACCATATTTTTAAATAATAAGTACTAATTTTTCTAATAGATTTTAAAAAAAAAGTTTGACATTACATAAGAGGTAATTTCTTAAAATATTATCTAATTAAAAAGCAAAAATATATATTATTTGCTTTAACCAATTGCAATCCTAAAAAAATAAAATAATAATAGTTCTTTTTGAGCCATCGTGCCACTGTATGAATCTATTTTATAAATATTTACATTTCTAGAATTTTTAAAAATTTTTCTTACTACAACAATAATTTACAAAGTTTAAAACTGAATATAAAATACATAAGATTTATTCTATGATTTTTTTATTTTTTGTAGACTTTTATGGAAACACATTACAGTGCAAAAAAATCAATTTATTCGTACAAATCTACAATTGTTTTTTAGATTTTTGCTGTTTATATGCATTTTTAAATTATATTTTTAATTCTTTCTTATTTTTCTATTGAACCTTATACTTTTTCAACTAAATTTATAGTTTAACAGTATTATAGTTGATAAGAAAATTAATATTTTACTAACTGTTTAATTTTTTTTTAGCCTGAAATTACTCTACATGTAATTGGTGATTTATGCCCAGGTATAACTACTGTACAAATTGACAATTTAGCTGCTGAAACTGCAGCTTATTTAACAACTAAACATCCAGATTTTGCTGTACTTGCTGCACGTATTGCAATTTCTAATCTTTACAAAGAAACTAAAGAAAATTTCAGTGGTATATAATTTATTCTATTATATTTCTATACATAGTTATTAATATTTAATATTGGATTTATTATATTATTGCAGATGTAGTTTATGATCTGTATAACATGCCCAATGAACGAAATAAAAGCCGTATGCCAATCATTTCAGATTTTCATTATGATATTATCATGAAACATGCTGATCGTTTGAATAATGCTATTAAACACGATAGAGATTATGCTTATAGTTATTTTGGATTTAAAGTAAATAATAAATTGTGTAAATATTCTTTTATAATTTTATCATATGTTATATTATTTTTATGGATACGTTTTCAGACACTCGAAAAGTCATATTTATTAAAAATTAATGGTAAAGTTGTAGAACGTCCTCAACATTTATTAATGAGGGTTTCAATTGGAATTCACGGTGAAGATATTGACGCAGCTATAGAAACTTATGATTTAATGTCATTAAAGTATTTTACTCATGCTTCACCAACAATGTTCAATGCTTCTACACCTAGACCTCAACTCTCAAGGTAAGAATAAAATATATTTTATTTATATTAAATTTTCCTAAAATGTTGGTTTAGTTGTTTTTTGGTGGCTAATAAATCAGATTCATTGGAAGACTTTGGTAAAACAGTTAAAACATGCGCCAAAATTTCTCAAACTGCTGGTGGTATTGGTGTACATCTCCACAATGTTAGTGCATCTGGTACAACATGGACCAAGTATCCAAAACATGAATCACATGGTCTTGTTGAACCGTTAAAAGTTCTTAATGATTTAGCGCAATATATTGATCAAGGTGGAAGGGTAAGTTTATTTTAGTTAGTTGAAATTTGTTTTTTAAAATATATTTTGATTTAATAGAGACCTGGAGCGGTTGCTGTTTATATTGAGCCTTGGCATGCTGATATATATACTTACACTGAATTACGTAAAAATACTGGTAATAAAGAAGAAAAAACTAGAGATTTATTTTTGGCTCTTTGGATACCTGATGAATTTATGAGACGCGTTGAGGCAGATCAATCTTGGAGCTTAATGTGTCCACGTAAATGCCCTGGTCTTTCAGATGTCTGGGGTGATGATTTTGTAAAACTTTATAAAAAGTATGACTAGTATTTATTATTTAAATTTAAATTTAACTATTATTAGTTATTTATACTACAGTAGAACTCCGATTATCTGGACTAATTAATGTCAAGGGTGGTCTGGATGATTGACGTATGGTATATCTAAAGTTATATAATTGTATGAATATATTGTATGTATTGTATGTATTTATTATTAATATATAATATGTAATATGATTTAAAATTTATAACCATAAACAATTAATTGTATTATGTATTTAACTGAAGCAAAATAAGATTTAATTATAATATGTGACATATTTTAAAACCAAAAATAAGCTGACTTGGTAAATTATTATTTTATTTTGAAAAAAATATCTCGTCCGGATGATAGGCTTTCGTATAAT